CTTTTTAACGCGGTTAACACGCGAACGGGCTTGCGGATTCGAACCGCAACGCTACGTCTATGCGCTTTGCGAATTCGATATTTATGCCCTCAGCTACCGACATCGAGTCAGTTCGACTTCAAGTCTGGGCGATAAACAAAGAAAATTTGCATAAAGAGATATAATCTTCCACCGACAAAAGGGGTCTTTAAAGACACCATCGATATTTTGATCGTAAATTCTGGTATAGATAAATTTAACTCTGCAAAACCTAAGTAATATACAATCCGATTTCTATAATGGTAAAAACTCGTTGAGATACTTGACAAGTATACCAGAATTTTTCAGATTTTTATATAATCCAAAATAATAAAAAAATTTGCTCTGTTTCTCGAAGATCCCCATTGCTGATAAAAGAGTTAAAAAATATTCCATATTGCCGAGTTAATGTAAGCGACCGCAATATAAGCAATAATGGTAAGCAATAAAGATTAAGGCGTTGATAAGAATCCTATAGTTGGTTAAAAAGAATACACTGAAAAAATTTAGAATTCAGAATTCTTAAAATTAGGCCTGTCCAATTTAAGCTTCGGAGCCAAAACGCAAAGCCATCGACGTAAAAAAATTCAATGCGAGTAATTGATTTTAGGAACTATAAAGTGTTGATAAGCGTCACTTAGATGCGTATCAACATTTTACAGTCCCCGAAATCTTACCCACATTGAATTTTTTTGCGTCGATAGCTTTGCGTTTTGGCTCCGGAGCTCAAATTGGACAGACCTGCCTTAAATGCTCTGCTCGAAATTCTAAAAATAAAAAAAAAATAACTTCAGTTTCTTATTTTATCTTTATGTCAATTAAAAACTGAAATTTCTACTGAGAAAATACTATTCTTTTTTCGAATCAAAAATAAAATAGGAAATTAGCAATACCCTAATTGTGCAGAAAACGCTAGTCCCATTGGAGCTACCGCGACAATGGTACCACGTTGCAACGCGTTCGTGAAATCCGCGTCCGACACTTCCTCGGTGTTCATGGAATTTGAGACGGTATCGGTTATCTCGCTTCCGAACGATGTGGAAGTTGTTGACGTCATTGTTGTGCTTTGTAGATTTTCGCCTGCAATATGCGCATCGTCGGGGAAAAGGGACGGAAGTAAGACATTGCAACTGACGTTCGCGCACGGGTTTCCCACCGCATGCTAAAAGCTACTTGATTCTAAGATTTATCGATTTAACGTGTAGATGAATAGAATAATCTTCAAAATTTTGCGAACTATTTCAGACGAGATGTATCGTTATTTTTTACGATTATAAATAAAAAAAAATAACTCTACCATAAAGTATCTGAAGAAATTACATTTATCTTGTAATTTCTGAATGCCAACTAGTCGGGCTTACTACAATTTATTAAATATATCGTGCATTTAAAAAAAACCTTTTAAATTAATTTAAATAGAAAACTGAGAACATTTTTATAATTGACTTGATGAATATTGAATATATCTCTATAATCAGATTTATAATTGATATTAAATATACTACACGCATTTAAAAGATTTTTAAATCGAATTAATTAGAAAATTGAGAACGTCTTTTATAATTCTTGGTTTATGGTTGTAATAAATTGAAACATCACCATCGATATATTCCAGGCAAATTTAAATTAGGATAAACTTACTCAGAATCGTTTCTAAAAATATCACGAGCGCCAATATTTTACGTGCTTCGTTCTATGTATATCTATCTTATAAATAAACTGGCACCGACAGTTGAATTCTGTAAGGTCTTACTCGGCTCCGTTCTCTCGAGATCACGATCGAAGGTACTCGTGGAGAGGACGATAGTGTTCGTAGCGGAGGTCGAGGGTTCATCGGGGTCGACTTCGGAGAAATAACTGGCGAGGTCTTGGTAAGATTCGCGCGTCCTTGCAGCATCCATAGGATGATGCTCGAACTGATAATCCGAGGTATTGCTCTTTTCCGTATCTTCTTCGTTCAGCGTGGATGCTGACGAAGAGAGAATGTAAAAGGAATATTTTTTAATACTTTAAAATATAACCTCCTTTAAGAAAGATATATATTTCTTTGTTGATATCAAACATGATATTTTTACCACTGTCAACATTCGCAAGTTCGTCAATTTTCTCGAGAACATGCGGACAAATTTCATAGTGATTCACGTTCTCCGCTTCGGAATCAGATTCCCTCTCACTCTTCGATTTCATAAAACGCTTCAAAGGATTATGAAAGGTGGGCAGCTTCGATCTAATCTGTGCATTGTGTTCATTAGACGATGTTTCCTTCTAAAGGTAAAATACGTATTTCGCCCCTCTATCATGTCGCAAAGCCGATTAAATTGTTCAATTAATATTTTTATATAACCAGCTTATATATAATTGTCTGGATACTCAAGATACACTTTTATTTCGTCATTGGACATTTCTAAAGTCAAAGTTTCCGTAATTAACGCGATTGTACACGGAAACGGAAATAACGATTTTATTGAAATATCTTAAAATTTAGCTACACGGAAAAAACGTTATGGTTGTCACAACCAAAAATAATGATATTTCTCGTCCTTTGACACAATTTGGTTATAAAAACTATAGTACAGTTATACCACACAACCGTACTATAATTTTTATAACCAAATTGTATTGATGGGCGAAAAATATCATTAATTATTTTCGGTTGTGGCAATCATAACATTTTTTCCACGTAGCTAAATTATAGATATAGATTTGAAAATTATTTTCTTTAGCAAAATCATTCATTCTATACACTGAAAAAAAATACAGTCAATTTTAACAAATATTTAGTTCAATACTGCCAACTAAATATTTATTAAAATTGACTATATTTTTTTTTCAGTGTATAAGTACGGAAAACTTGTATTAATTATGTAACAGAATATGACAAAAAATTACAACGCAGAAGTCAGAACATATATATAGATGTTCTTCATATCTCTCTTCTTTTAACTAACCGTAAATTCTTCAAATATAGTTAGACTTTTATCTATAAAACTTTCAGAAAGTCAGCTTTATTTACACTTATTTCAAAAGTGCAATAAGTACCGAATAGTACATGTCAAATGTTTATTGGGATATGAGAGATAAAAAAGTAGCTTATTTTTGAACTGATATCGCAATATAAACCTTCATACAACAACAACCGAAACTGTTGACAACTAGTCGAAAATAGAACTGTTGCTTAGATCAGCAAAATATCTTGATTCTTCTCTTCAAACATTATCTTTCAACTTCCTTCTGTTGAGATCCCAAATATTGTATTCTCACCTTCTGTTTCATTACGGAGAATAGACATTTCTTATCGGAATGATTAACGGATGTATGATCCACGGGATCTCGTCGTTTCGGAGTATCCGAACTCTTCGAAGCTTCTCTATTGATTGTATCACTCATATCTGAATCACATTGTCGATAAAACCTCTTTTATCACAAATCAACGGTACAATCTTACTTATCAATTTGAACGTCGCATATTTCGATATCGACTATTATGTCCAGTCGATCGGTTTTTGTTCCTCATCAATTAATATCATAATGCAGATACTTTAAACGCATACGTTCAATGTATTGTAGAATAGTTAGCTGTTAGAATAACGAGACTTTAAATTATAGAAAATAGTAGAATAGATATCTTCACCGAGTGCACAATTTGCCATGGCATATTAAGCTGGATAATAATATTTTGTACGCGTAATATCTTATACATATTTTACGTTTTCAACGCAATAGTTTTGAATGAAAAAGAAAAACTCGCTGTCATAAAATAGAATACTTGTAGCAATATTTTAATATTAATAAATAATTGCAATGTAAATAAATTAAAAATATTAATTAAAATAAAGTCCTTATAAAAAAATAATAAATATAAATATTCTAAAGTTCATGTTTGTGACTATAGCTTGCGTTATCATGCAAATATACATATATATCTTAATTTCAACATGGAATTGCAATATAAATTGCGAATCATGTTGTTGTGTATCATTTACAAGGTAGATTAAGTTTCTATCACGTCTTTCAACGTGATAATTTGAAATGAAAGAAAAACTTGATATTACAAATAGAATATCTGTAAAAATATATTTATCAATAAGAAACTGCAATACAAAGAAATCGAAAAATTCAAGTCTTTATAAATAATAAAAATAAATATTCTAAAGCCCACGTTTATGATTACGCGTGACTGCAAGTGTAATTAAAGTCGTCGAATTCATGTTTACATAGATTTCTTATTATGTTTTCCTTTACAAAGAACGTTCTCGGAGTATTACCGGTTTTCCATAGTAAACATGACGATCGATACTAAAACTACTAAGAAAACTTATCGACAACGTGGTCGCTTTCAAATCTTGAGCAAGAAAGTTAAAAATATTGAATTTTTCGGCACCGGGAATCGAGCCAAATAAAACATCGCGATACAAAACTCGACGCGAATTCGAGAAACAGCGATTCGGACGCGAACGAAAACAAAATCAGAAGACACGATTATAACACAATCATTAAGTATGTTGAATTTGCACTCGGATATGTTAAAAATTCAACACAAAATTTTAAGACTTGAGTGGACCGTTTCTAACATAAACACAAAACAATAATAAGAAACAATAATTAGAAACAAGTCAATAGAATAAATCAATTAAATAAGAGAAACGTCACTTAAAAGAATATGAGTCTCATAACATTTATATGTACACACACAAAAGATATTTTGTCACTTACGATCAAAATCGCATGTTGGAATAATCACATCTATATGTATCTATTCGAATAAATTTATCTCAGATATATAACTGCACGCCGCTTATTTATTTAAATACATATATTGTTCCAATACATCCGATTTGGACCGTAAGTGACAAAATATCTTTTACCGTGTATACATATGAACGTTACGAGACTCGTATTCTTTTACAGGAGCCGTCGAATTCCGAGCATCCGAGATTATTGAATCTCGATAACGACTGAATCGATCAAATTTAGGGTCTTACCTGATAGACGTAAGGTGTGACGCAGGGTACGTAGAATTCTCTACTCATAATAGACGAGTCGCCTGCGGGCGGCGATGAAGTCCAGCTGACGGGTCGTCCTTCGGCAAGTGTCAAAACGTCGGTGGCGCCATCTTGGTCTCGCCCGGATCGGAGCGAGTCGTCGAACTGTCACGAGCAGGCAGGATCACCGAATCCTAGTTTCGGCCGCCGCGCAGGACATCCCTCGTCTGCTTTTTCGGGGTTCATGCACGTGTCGCGGCAGGATACACGTACTCGCCGTGTCACCCGTTACGTCGCGTCGCGTCGCGTTGCGTCACGTCACGGTCGCGTCACGTCGCGACGTTTAGGTCGTTCGCGTCAGCGTCGTCGTTGGCGGGCGTGCGACAACGACGACGATAAAGACATCAACCGTCGGGATTCCTTGCCTCGGCGCGCGCGACTCACCAAAGCACACTCGGGATACACACTGCATAAGTAACCACCTTAACGACGTCGCCGGGTTCGTCGTCCCGACTCGATCATGGCGCACTCCTCAGGTCGATTGTCCCCGCAGGGGAAGTAACCTAATCGTCGTGCTCGGAGGACGACGTTTCCAATGGTGGACACACGACTGTTTGTGAAAACGCGGATGGCAGGACGGTAAACACTCACGTTCGCTCACTACGCCATTTTTCGTCGC